GGTCTAGGTGGCTAGGTGGGCTCGGGTCAGGCCGTCTGCACGTAGGGCAGATCCAGTCTGCGGAGTAGAGGTGAATGGAGCGAAGGCCGGAGCACCGCTTGTGGGTCCAGGCATTGCACATGGAGCACAGGAAATGGTAACATTGCCAAGTAACCGGGAGGGAGCAGACTGAACAGGGGTGTGGGCCAGGGTTGGGATGTATACCCTGGGTCAGGAGGAGAAGGACGAATAGGAAGAAAAGATGGGAGGGGAGGAGGGCGTAAGGTGCCCCAAGAATGATCGCGATAGGCGGCCAAGAAGTGGGTAGGGGGAAGGGGAGGCCGAGGTTCCCCTTCCCTTAGGGGAAAAATTTTGAAAGGAGCCTCCGTCCGGTAGCGATCCGGGCGGGGGGGGGGCCTCAGCCGTTTGGCCGACAGGCTCTAGTTGTCGATCCCTTGCGAATCAAGTCACGAAAAGTACAAGAATCGGCAACAGGCTATTGGCCTATTTTTTCAGTGCCGACACTTCTATTCTATTCTAACTAAACTTCCAGAGTCTGGATAACCAAATGCTAATCTTTCGGAAGGTTTGATTGTTAATACTTCTCCAGGAGCATCTTTGAGGGCTAACCTTGTATGCTTAGTTTCTCCTACCATTTTGGTAAGAGGTTCAAATAGAGGCTTATATACTTTTTTAGCTTCATTTATTAGCATCAATCTTGTTCCATAAATTTATCTTATGTGAATTTTTTCTCAAGTTTCTCTGTTTTATTCAATCTGCTTTCGTTTTTATATAAATTAACTCTATTTTATTAAGTAAAATATCTCAAACAACTTCGACTAGATTTCTGTTTACTTTGAACTTATTGTTTGTTTATTTTGACCTTAATGTGCATTCAACTCAATGTTAATTCAAGTTCATGTGAGTTCAGCTTTTAGAATCCAAGATGAGTCTTCGAAAAAAAACAATTTATGAAAATCTTATCATTATCATAGACATCGCTGCTATATTTCGATAATTCTTCTTCGTAAAACTCACTATTACTGCTTCATCGTTCATATCTTTCCACCTATAAGTTACTGGTTTCGTATCTAATAGTTTGGAGATGATAGAAAACTTACGTGTGAAATTAGAAAGATATGCCTTTATTAAAATCCCTGTTTTCTTATAATTCTAGCACATAGACATTTTTCTACTGTTCTGATTCATTGAAGCATCACGAGGAGTCATTTTTATTGATCAACGAAAATTATTGTTATAATTTTCATTAATATTATTTTTTGAAAATTATTCATATAATTTTCAACTATATCATGTAAAATATCTACCCGCTTTTATGTTTTGACGTAAGTAAAATATTTCCATATTTTCGTCATGAGAGTTCGATTGATTCTCTCAACGACTTGAGCTTTAGTTTCATTTTCAGTTGCAAACCATTGAATTTCAAACTTCTTGGATAACTCTTGCATTGGCTTGTAAATAAAATCCAGACCTCTGTCTTTTTTTTAATTTTAGAGGGAATTCGTTCTGTGAAAAGCTTTTGGAAAGAGGTTTCAATATTTTCACCAGTCTATCTTCGTATATAGGGACTGCCCATGCATGTTTACTAAAGATATCAATCAGTTAGAATGTAGTTTTTCCTCCATCTGTATACTTCATAGACGGCAGGGTAATATCTGCCTTGGGCCGTGTGATATTAAGATATTTATTTTGCAATAGATAATATTCTAATAATAAAATTTGGGAGATAAAACTCTGACAAGTACTGTCACACATGAGACGTTAGAGCATACATTATTAACCGCATGAAATTCGTATAGTAAATAATTCACCCCATTACCTTCCTATGAAATGTTATAGAATATTGTTTAGCCATGCTAATTACGTATGACATGAAAAATCAATAACTATTTGACTAATTCTATGATTAATGCAACACTTTTGTAGTTTAACATTGCAGTGGAGCAAAATATGACTTATCTAGTTCAAATTACGGATGCGGATTCAACTTACACTCACTCTCACATTGTGAACTCGCGTAAACATCTTGTTACATGTTCCGGTCCTTGCATGGAAATTACACAAGAAGTGGGACATGAGATGATGACATGTCTTCTTACATGATCCTCTCTCCTCCTACATCCTCTCTTACATATGTCTTCTTACATGAGAAGATGACATAATGGAATGACTGTTATTTCTTCAATGAAAAGGAATGTGTTAACCTTGGTAACGGTTCTGCGAGCCTAGCGAAAGTCTCTCAAATCAAATCTGATTTGAGAGACGAACGTCTCAAATCGGAACCAGCTGGGGACAACAGAAGGAAACCCTCATTGTGACTTTCCAGGCCCTTATTAAGTCTCTCGTCACCTACTCTTTCCCAGTGTGGTTCCCTAACGTCTCTCCTTCGGCCATCTCTAAGTTGATATTGAAAACAGAAAACTAAAACAAGACCATATTATAATAGAATAGAAGTGTCGGCATCGAAGAAATAGGCCCATGGCCTGTTGCCGATTCGTGTTGTTGGAAATTTCCGACGTTCTTAAATTGTAACACCTTTGATTCTTTTTCTTCATACCTGTTGTTGGGTATGGATTTGTAAATAGAGTTGTTGGCATTGCAACTTGATGGTGAAAGCACCTATCTTCGTGGACGCGCTTCGGCAGTCTGTAATTAACGCCATACCTTCTTAATTCTATTTATTTGTTAGAGTGATCACTCTCAGTTTTCATTTTGTTTATTTAAGTTGAAATGCATGTTCGCTCTTACTTTATTTAGGAGGCAGACACCGACTTAAACTTGGGCATTTGCACTCTACTGTGGTATAACCGCCTTGGCCTTAGGCTTATAATAAACTTGAAGTTAAATTCCTATCTATATGTATATATTGTCCTACCTAGATAGAAGAACAGAGTTCTTCTTCCAGTTAAATTCATTAAAGCTTCGGAGTCTGCCTCTCCTTCTACTATCCTAATTTTCCCTGTATATGGCCTCTCATTTGCCTCTTAAAATTACATATCCCGCTTAGTCGCAAAGGATTTTAAGGTGGGTTCGAGAGGTTGCTATAAACTTGCGAAACAGTGCGATATAGATTGAACATAGCTCAATATCATTGTTACTCGATTATTTACATGAGTTTCTCACTATATGGTATCTTTCTTCCCATAGAATAACTATTACTCTGGTGGTGTCGGTCTGCATCCTTTTTTTTTGGCTCGAGACAGCAGAAACTTAACTATAACTTCGCTACTTACCTGTTTCAGAAGTGTGTGGTTTATTGCTTCATTATTTGTTTAATGACCAGTATTGAAATATCTGACTGCCATATGTAAGGACTTTCATTAGCTGGAATCTTAAGACTAGTCAATTTACTTTACAGTTATGTTGGGTCGAGAATTCGTCTGTTACGACGAACCTGTACGAAGTCGACTAAGCTGTTTGACCGTGTTTTCGGACTGATTGTCAACAAGCTTCACTTGAATCTGGGACAACTGGATCTGGGAATTCGTTCGCTAAATAAAAATTTCTTCTTGGGAAACCTTTGTTTCTAAACCTAACAGTGTCCCTTTCGTGACTTGATTCACAAGGGATCCGGCCTTTGGAACCCGATCTTTCCTTAACTGACGATTGACTGAGATAGCTGCTAGACTAATTGCCTGGTCCGTAAGGTGCTATGCATTTCAAGACAGAACATATGTTCCTGCATAGCTTCGTCTAGTCTGTTCTTGAAGGCGTTCATACTCGGAGCGTCAACGATGCTATCAGGGAGGCTGTTCCACATGTCGGTGACTCGAAGCGAGAAGAAAAGTTGTCGTAGGGATGTGTTACAACGCAGTTTTTTTAGTTTATAGCCGTGGCCCCTGGTGTTGGTTCTTGTATCAAATTCTAGCAATCCTTCTGGGACCTTGTATATTTGTATACTTCATATACGTGGGTATATTTGTATACTTCAATGAGGTCACCACGCAGACGTCGATAACGGAGACTTGGAAGCTTCATAATTTTCATTCTTTCTTCATAAGGCTTGCATTTCAATCCCGGAATTATCCTTGTTGCACGTCTTTGAAAACTCTCGACTAAAATTTTGTCTTTTTCTAGTTTTGGCGACCACACGACATAGAATGCCATTTAATTCATGCGCTAAAATTTGATCGAAATCTAAATTTTGATTTCGAAATTAAAATTGAGTTTATTGAACTGAAGCTAATCCAAGTTTTAACTAAATTATATCCAGTTTTTCAATGCCGCTCAATTTGATTACAAAATGCAAATAACAGATCAAAATTTGTTGAACGCGATAGAGAATTCAATACGAGAACTGGAATAACCATGCATGATGCATTTTGAGTACCGACATCATCCGACCGATGATAACTGAAGCCCTTATCTTTTCGCATTGGACTCCACCTATCCTTCTGCTATCTTATACTAAAACTCTTATTGCGAACCTAATAATATCCAAATCTCTTATAGGCACCTCCAAATTATGGAACTTCAGGTGAAGGTCTAGTGAGTGTCGTGATGGGAGGTGTGGAATTGTCACCAATGACATTAAGTCAAAACATGGCCACGAGGAACATACAGAAAGGAATTACTTCGTGGCCAATCGGAGCAGACGGAATGGTGGTGGTTCCCTACAGGTGCGAAGGTGAGAAATATAATATAAACTTTAAGATTAATTATGAAAAAACTAACATCATTTGAGCATTGAAGTGGTCATTGATATGGTGCAAGAAACGACAGTTTTTGAACTTCACAAAGTCTCTATTTCTAAAAACAATTCGCTACCGGATAAATTTCTGTTTGCGTGAACTTGCACTGACTTGATAATCCCTTTGATTCGGTGAAACATGGATTTGTCATTAAAAATTTATTTGAATTGAATAAATTTCATAGGCTGCTGAATAAATTGCTTATCAAGCTTTCATAATGCAGCAAATAAACTAATTGATTGATTTATTTTCATAACATAGATTGATTACAACATGTTGATGTGAATTTTGGTTAATTTATTTAATTTCAGTCCAGCAGCATGTAATGAATTCGAACAGCAACACTAATATATCTCCTTGGCAGATACCAGGCTGGGATGTTTTCAATATAATAATTATAAAAAATTAAAATATCTGCTTTAATTCTCTAGCTTTCATACCTGGACATGATCAAATGCCTGTCTCATTGCTGAATCAAATGAGGAATAGATGAGTCCAAACCTATAGAAGACAATGATTCCCTCAGCTATGCTGAGTGAATGCTAACTTTACCTATTAAAATGTAATTTTCCAATTTTATTCTTTTAATATTTTTTTATGGATGAAATATGATGAAATATTGCACCCAAACATATTCCCTGGAACTTGTTTGTTTCACTGTACCATAATTCCGGAAAACCAGAAATTTTGCCTCCGTTAGGTGCGGTCAACTTGACGCGCTTGGGGCCAGCGCTGAGGTCCTGGGAGAAGGACTCATGTGTGAGATTCCGCGAGATGGCGGCCAGTGAAAAGCTGCACGACACCTACCTCCTCATTAGAGCATCCACACACTGCCAAAGCTTACTGGGCATCTATCCGAAAGCTACCTTACTGGAAATAACTGATTCCTGTGGGGTATGGCTGTGCCTTGCATTTGTAATGAGAACCATGATGTTCACCTAAATCCGATCTCAACCCAATCTCATAAACTTAAAACAAACCTAATAATGCGCTATTCGTCTATCTTCGTCTTATACTATAGTTTCAAGTTCTTCTTCCTCTTTCTGGCAGCTCAATGCCACCAGTCTTTTCCCCATAAAAACAAAAACATCTCGTATCACAGACATTATAAATGGATACGAAGAACATATACCATCATAGTACTTTCAAAGGGCCGTATTATTGAAGATATTTGCAAATTCGTACTGCCGTCCACTAATCACTGATATTTGGAACGCACCAATCACAGACGAGAAATCGGCCGATACGTGTACTTAGTTTTGATTAGCACATAACTTTGATAGTACGGCTCGAGAAAGCTAGTATATGTGGGTTGGAATTCTTCTTGAAAATCAATTTATGCTTTTGAATTCATCAATTTGTCTGGACTTTGCAGTTAAGATCATGAGGTTGTACAAATTTATCATACAACTTATTAAATCACTAATGACTGTGGTACGTTTATTGCTTAATCTTATCAATAATATTTAATATTATAAATTATATAATATCAACTATTATATAATAAAAACAAAGGAATTTTTTCAAAGCCGATTTAAAGTTCTTGTGAACTGCATGTGGGCACAGAAGTTACGTACAATATTCACGTTTTACTAGTTAATAATTGAAGGGGTTTCGGCAAAATTAGTTGGAACCTTCTCTGTTGAAGCTGAAAGGTTTCTTCAAGGTAACGTAGAGAAAATCAAGTTTGTACACTCTGCCGAATACTTTGGTGCAGCAGAGTATTGCCCCATATGTACATTGAATTTTTCACACATGGGATTGGAACCCATTTCCTTTTGGCATGCGGTGGATATCGATTGAAAAAAAATCTCTTGTCGTTTAGAAACTATTCAGGAATATTATTCCTAACAGGAGCTCTTAGTTAACAGGGACAAAAAATTGCGTCACAATATCTAGTTAATTACTACATCATTGCTTGATGAGATATTTAAAACTAAATGTAAGATAATGAAGAAAGCAGGCATTCAGATCACTGGGGTGCTCTATTCAAGGATTAGTCTGAAAAATCACAGATTTTCCAATGTACCTGCACATGTGCATATGCATAAATGAAAAATTTATTTATAAAATTCGTGTAGCTTTAGTAGTAAATTAAATTGTCAAGAAAACATTTGCTTCCGTGTTTACTGACAATGAATGACTTAGGATGAGTTTATAACCGTTAGCAAACGGTAATCGAGAGGTCCTATTTCTTTTTGGGTACCGTTTAGGTGCTGGAGAGTTTGGCCGCACTCGTCTTAGCATTAAATCAGGCGTTTCTCCACCGCCTTTGATCGTTAACTCATGATTCGGGAGTAATTGCTCAATTTTGTTGGGTAAGATTCAGGGTAAATGATCGGTACCCTGTTAAGCTGTTTATACGAATTCGGGGGTAATTGTTCGTAATAATATTGAAGGAGGTTTTATTCAGGGGTAATTGGTTAATTTTGTTCGACAAGATTCAGGGTAAGTGATCGGATGCAGTGCTCAAATTTTTGTTGTCGAAATAAAATTGTAGATAAGTTACTAGGTTTATTCGAGGGTAATTGGCTAATTTTGATGAGCGAGATTCGAAATAAGATTGTGGAAACCTATGATTTTAAGCTGTTTTTGCAAAGTGTTACCATACGCTCATTATGCTATCTACTGACCGTCTTTAAACACTCTCGACTAAATTTTTGTCTTTTTCTAGTTTTGGCGACCACACGACATAGAATGCCATTTAATTCATGCGCTAAAATTTGATAGAAACCTAAATTTTGATTTCGAAATTAAAATTGAGTTTATTGGACTGAAGCTAATCCAAACTTTAACCAAATCATATCCAGTTTTTCAATGCCGCTCAATTTGATCACAAAATGCTAATAACAGATCGAAATTTGTTGAACGCGATAGAGAATTCGAGACGAGGACTGGAATAACCATTATGCATTTTTAGTACCGACATCATCCGACCGACGATAACTGAAGCCCTTATCTTTTCGCATTGGACTCCTGCTATCCGTCTCGATCACAACTACCGGATTTTCTAAGCTTGGAGATTGCCTCGGACAAATTTTCACGGTTCAAAATTTTCGTGTGTATCATATATACGTGTATCGTGTACTTATTTCCACCAAAATTTCAGTATTCAATGCTTCTTTTAACTTGAAAAAGTAATGTTGTTACATTCGACACATCGTTAATAAATTAAAATTACTTCCTTAAACCAGCATTTTGATCAACCAAATTCATTTGAAGATCATTGTTCGACACTGAAAATGTAAATCAATGAATTCTATGGTCAATTGCCCAAGTTTAAACCCGTTAATTCTGCTATCTTATACTAAAACTCTTATTGCGATCCTAACAATATACAAATCTCTTATAGGCACCTCCAAATTATGGAACTTCAGGTGAAGGTCTAGTGAGTATCGTGATGGGAGGTGTGGAATTGTCGCCAATGACATTAAGTCAAAACATGGCCACGAGGAACATACAGGTAGGAATGACTCCGTGGCCAATCGGAGAAGACGGAATGGTGGTGATTCCCTACAGGTGCCAAGGTGAGAAATATAATATAAGATTAATTATGAAAAACTAACATCATTTGAGCATTGAAGCGGTTATTGATATGGTCCAAGAAACGACAGTTTTTGAACCTCACAAAGTCGCTGTTTCTGAAAACCATTCGCTACCGGATAAATTTCTGTTTGCGTGAACTTGCACTGACTTGATAATCCCTTTGATTCGGTGAAACATGGATTTGTCATTAAAAATTTATTTGAATTAAATACATTTCAGAGGCTACTGAATAAATTGCTTATCAAGCTTTCATAATGCAACAAATAAACTAATTGATTGATTTATTTTCATGACATAGATTGATTACAACATGTTGATGTAAATTTTGATTAATTTATCTAATTTTAGGGTAGCAGCATGTAATGAATTCGAACAGCAACACTAATATATCTCCTTGGCAGATACCAGGCTGGGATGTTGTCAATATAATAATTATAAAAATTAAAATATCTGCTTTAATTCTCTAACTTTCAAACCTAGACATGTTCAAATGCCTGTCTCATTGCTGAATTAAATGAGGAATAGATGAGTCCAAACCTATACAAGACAATGATTCCCTGTAATGAAATTTTCCAATTTTATTCTTTTAATATTTTTTATGGATGAAATATGATGAAAAATTGCACCCAAACATATTCCCTGGAATATGTTTGTTTCACTCTACCATATTTCCGGAAAACCATTAATATTGCTTTCGTTAGGTGCGGTAAACTTGACGCGCGTGGAGCCTGCGCTGAGGTCCTGGGAGAAGGACTCATGTGTGAGATTCCGTGTAAACACAGACATTATAAATGGATACGAAGAACATATACCATCATAGTACTTTCAAAGGGCCGTATTATTGAAGATATTTACAAATTCGTACTGCCGTCCATTAATCACTGATATTTGGAACGCACCAATCACAGACGAGAAATAGGCCTCTACGTGCACTTAGTTTTGATAGCACATAAATTTGATAGTACGGCTCGAGAAAGCTAGTATATGTGGGTTGGAATTCATCTTAAAAATCAATTTATGCTTTTGAATTCATCAATTTGTCCGGACTTTGCAGTTAAGGTCATGAGGTTGTACAAATTTATCATACAACTTATTAAATCACTAATGACTGTGGTACGTTCATTGCTTAATCTTATCAATAATATTTAATCTTATAGATTATATAATATCAACTATTAAATAATAAAAACATAGGAATTTTTTCAAAGCCGATTTAAAGTTCTTGTGAACTGCATGTGGGCACAGAAGCTACGTACAATATTCACGTTTTACTAGTTAATAATTGACGGGGTTACGGCAAAATTAATCGGAACCTTCTCTGTTGAAGTTGAAAGGTTTCTTCAAGGTAACGTAGAGAAAATCAAGTTTGTGCACTCAGCCGAATACTTTGGTGCAGTAGAGTATAGCCCCAAATGTACCCCAAATGTACATTGAAAAATGTACAAATTTTTTTACACATGGGATTGGAACACATTTTCTTTTGGCATGCGGTGGATATAATTTGAAAAAAAATCTCTTGTCGTTTAGAAACTATTCAGGAATACTATTCCTAACTGGAGCTCTGAATTAACAGGGGCAAAAAATTGCGTCACAATATCTAGTTAATTTTTGCATCATTGATTGATGATATATTAAAAATTAACTGTAAGATAATGAAGAAAGCAGGCATTCAGATCACTGGGGTGCTCTATTAGAGGATTAGTCTGAAAAAATCACGGATTTTTCAATGTACCTGCACATGTGCATATGCATAAATGGAAAATTTATTCATAAATTTCGCGTAGCTTTAGTAGTAAATTAAATTATCAAGAAAACATCTAATCAGCTGCTTCTCGAGAAAACTATCTACTCATACTTTATCTCCTTAGTCTTTGTCAGAGAAGTGCGGCGGCTGAAGAAAACTTACAAGTTTTAAGCGCGGCCAAGGCTGGCCCGCTACACTAGAAGAACAATATTTACCGCAATATATATTCTTTTAGGTAAATAAAGGATCGTCGATGGCAATAATAGAGAGTGGCCATATATATAGCGTAATTTTGAAAGCATGAAAGTAAATGGCGAAATACATGCAATATTAATCCGACCTGGGGAACCCAAATTTATTGCCAGTTGATCGGACAAAATCGTCTCAACCTCGCGTTATTGTCATGGGTGACTCGAAAAAATAGCATTTATTGCTGAGTTCATCGAGGTTTATCGTAGCTGTGCAGTGTCCACCCTGCAAGTAATCAGGGATCATGTGTACGCGCGCCTCACGGTCACAAGAAATAGACCCGATGCTAAAAGGCTCTTCTGTATCTCGGCGAACAAAATCGGGTAACTTGGCCACGTAAAAACTAACATCTTTTAATTATATTGTTATTATTTCATTATTGAAAAATAATAAGTTTACTCATTTATTCTAGTACGGAGGCGTCATCCACGAGCTTGGCCACGCTTTGGGCTTCGTGCACGAAATGAGTCGCAGCGACAGGTTTGTCCGCTGAATTATCTACTTCCACTCGAAAATTTTCAGTTATTTTTTTTTATTTATTTCTTATTTAATATTTTTTTAACAAACTATTCTGATCGGCTTATCCCAACACGCCACGAACATTGAAATAATTAAGATATCGTGAATTTAATTCGCTAAAAAGCTACCACATTTTGATTTATTATGAAAGTACCTGGTGGCATTTTATTCGCCAATAACAGCCAAAAACCTCTCACCACGAACGTCTCGGACAAATTTACGGCCGGTGTCTCGGCAAATCTCCAAAT